GGGGTAATCATGAATAAGGTAATGAGAAAAAGAAATATGATAACAATATATAGAAGACCCAATGTATTTGTTTCAAAATCACAGTTCAATGAGACACAGTAAAAAGCTTTCATGTTAACAGATTCATCTAAAACTAAGAAATTTACAAAGTATAAAACTCCATATAAATACAAATTATATTGTGGGAGAAAAAATTAAATTTACCTTTATATGTTCTAAAACAGCTGTAGCAACATTTGTATGGAGATCAATAAGTCTTTTTTTTTCAAGGAGTTCTGGCAAAGAACTACAAGCACCAAAAAATTAAAAATTAGCCATTAAATTTTCTAAACTGACATAGATTTTAATAAAAACCATGCCTGGGTGTTTCCTCTGAGGAAACTCAGAACAGTGAAACAGTGACAAAATGATAAGTTAAACTATCAAATAAATTTAATCTCTAGGCTTGAATACATACAGTATTTATTATTTTAATACAGGTGAAATGCTTCTTATTTTAAAACTATTTGGTTCCCAAATATCATTATTTCTAATATTTCACTTTCTGATTCTAAATTTGGAGGTTTAGAATAAAATCATATTAATGAAAACATGCTTTTACCTATATTTCTAAAACACATTTCCTCTCTCCTTAATGGGAAAGCATCAAAAAAACCTGCTTAATTTTTAGTTAAGAAAATAGCAGCAATAATAAAATTAAAAATAACCTACCCTACTTTATCACCTGCACTATTTTCCTAGTAAGACTGTTCCCATTACACAATTCTAACTGGTGAAAGAAGCAAATGATCTGCTATATCCAAGAGGAAACTAAAATCAGCCTGAATATGTTAAAAACACAATTTAGTTCTTTAACTCAAAAGAATATTGGCTATTATCTACTATTTCCTATTATTAAAAACATTAACTATTTTTTTAACCTCCAGGATAAATCTTATCAACATAGAGACTTCAAAGAGCACATATTGTTTACTTACCTAACAGCTGATGTGAGCTTAGCAGTATTGTCAGAAAGCATACTTATGGCTCCTTCATCTTCCCCTTCTAGTCCCTGGGAAAGAAAAAGGGTCCCAGTAGCTACTCAAAAATCCCAGACCCATGCGTAAAATTAACAGTCCTAAGATTACTGACATACAGTAAGATTTAAATTACCTAGAATAGCAATTCTTCCCCTCGGAGGAGCAAGCACATGTATTGACAGTTATAGAAAAATTTTAGTCACTATCAGTCTAATAAATGGTTGGATGACTAAATAATCAGCTGGCATTTTCTTGCCACAGATCACACAGTAATAAATAATAGAGCTGAAATCTGAAGTTAGATCAAAGTATGGTAGAATGAGCAGCATTGTAACACATATCTCTAAAACGAAGCCACATTACATATTTTTTCAAATCATAAATTCCTATTATTCTTTCAAAAATTTTGTCAGGGTGGTCATAACCAGTAATCTTCCTGAAAGCTCAAGCAGTAACAACATCGTTAAATAAACAAGATTCTAAATTCATAAATATTATTCTTCATAAACAAGTTTATAAATATGGTTTAAAAACACTTTTGGTATTTGAATTTCTTTCAATTATTCTTTCAAAAATTTTCCCAGGGTGGTCATAACCAGTAATCTTCCTGAAAGCTCAAGCAGTAACAACATCGTTAACGCAACAGGTGAAAAAACTGTTAGCATCTCTTTCTCAAAATAAAGAAAAGCCATATTTTCACAGTAATGCCGAAATGCAGCGCAACCATTTATAAGGATTCCTAAATAGTCTACAATTTTTCTCAATTTTTACGCATATCTAAACGACCCTATTATTATAATTTGACTCTTTTCTTATAAATGTTAAACATGGATCACCTTTACTCAGATGTAATTAAGAAAGCTTTTTGACAGGTTCAAGATTCAGCACCAGGTTGACACTCTAAAACATAGTACGCCAGTGATCTAGTAGCTTTTAAAAGAGAGTCGGGAGTTGCAAAGGCAAAGATTGAAGTGAAGTCACTGTCAGAGCGCCATGCTCAACACTTCGGAGACAAGGAGACCACAGAGAAGAGCGGGTTAAGTACGTGGAGATAGCTCAAAAACCTTATTCCAGCCCCCCGGACGCACGGCCATTCAGGCTGCGGTGGCGCAAAGCAGCCCGGTTCTCTCGGACTCGAGCAGCACCCGCACCGCCGCCCCCCGAAACGGCCGAGGCAGGCCGAGCGCCCGGGCCCGGACTCCCGCCACCAGCGTACCCACAAGGTACTCACAAAGAGAAGTTCGCAGAGCTGTCTGTCCCGCTGGAGCCGACAGCCCGCGCGGTGAGAATCAGCTCCTTGCCCCAAACAGGGCGGGCCAGGAATTAGGCGGCCACGCAGCCAGCCCAGCAGCGGTCTACTCTGGCTCTGAGGGCGCGCCGGTGCCGCAGTGCGGACAGCGCGCCGCCCGCTGACGTCAGCGCCTGCCTACGCCGCCGTTCCTATGGTAACCGACGCGGCCCGCGTTCCCGGCCTGGGCCTCCGCCTAGCCGCCGGGCCGCCTGCGCCTCGGCGCGGGGAGGAGCTTCACTGCGCCTTCAGCCGGCCGGGGCGCGCGCTCCAGGGGCTCCCGCCTCCGCCGCTCTGGAAGGGGTAAGAATCTCCTCTACCTGGAGCGCGAAGGAACCGCGAGTGCGCGGGTGCCTCTCAGAGCCTGAGTTCATCCCCACCTTCACCCCCGAAAATGCGCTAGGTGCTTCAGAGCTGTAGCAAGCACCGGGAGGTATTCAGGGGGGAAAGCGAGGTGGGCAGGCTGTCGCGGAACCCGCCAAGAATAAGAACATGAATGAGGCCAAGAAACAGACTGTCAGACACCCCACGCGATTGCGCCCACAAAATAAAACATGATGTTTAGTGTGGAGATTGAAGAGTTGTACTACAGACAAAATCTGAAGGAAATTATCCACTATTCGCCTAGAGCTATTTCACTATGTGTGGAAAACAAAACAAAAGTGAAAACGTCATCTTTTTCTACACCTAATCCCCCCTCCCACTTTTCTAATTTCTGCCACAGGCGCCATCTTTTACTCCTAGTCACCAGGGATGGAAAAATACCAGAGGCGTTACTCCTGGACTCTGAAATCGGAGGCCATTTTTTGCAGTTGTAGCCACGCACTAAAACCTGTTGCTTCGTTTGTATAGCGAGAGAGTTATGTGTGGAGGCCAGCATTTCCGTTTTCATTGGCATCACCACACCTTACAAAGCATATCTCATGTTTCTCCAAATCCTGTGAGGTGGCAAGCTGTGAGCTAGCTGTTCAGCTTTCCACTCTAAACCTTCTCCCCTTCTAGATTTCTGTTTTGCTTTAAGCCACCACCATCCCTTCAGTGTTTTAGTAAGATACATGTAAAGATACATGTAGAGTATCCTACATGCATCTTACACCAAAGCATATCCATTCTTCCTTTTTAACTTCCCCAAATAACCCTTTACCAGTCCCCTAACTCCAGTTTTGACTCCTAAATTCCATTCTCCACATTGCTACCAGAATGACCTCACTAAAAATGCAAATCTGATAATGCCATTCTCCTGATGAAAATTATTCAAAAGCGCTCCGTAAGAGAAAATCTAACTACTTTGCCTAGGACACAAGATGGTTTATCTCCCTGACTAGTTTCACCTCTTATTACCTTGTTTCAATTTTATGCAATACTGAATTATGTGTACCACACAAAACAATCCATTACCTTTATGCCTCAGTCTTTGCACATATTGTCCCCTCTTCCTGAAAATTCCTCCTGGTACACTCCTACTTCTGCATGTCTCAGCCCAAATGTTGCCCATCCTTTGAATCTTAAGCAGGTTGACTAACTCCTTCAAACATTCCTGCTGTGTACCCTATTAGACTTTGGATACTCATTCTATATATTACATTCTCATTGTTGGCATTTATTTTCTCTATCCCCAGCATCTACCACTGTATCTATGAGATAGTTGGCACTTCAAGAACATTGGTTGAATGAACAATGGATGACATATATCGAGCTCTTTCTAGGAGCTATGCATTGTAGGTTTTATGTACTTTTCATCCATCCTCACAACTGTCATTTAAGTACTCACATTTACAAAGAGAGGTTATAATTCTCCCTGCTCGTTCTTAGCTGGGTATTATTTTCAGAACATATTCCCCAGATTGGCTGGCATATACACCTGTTATCATCTCTTGCTTCAACCTTTACAATAGCTTGCAGAGGTACAGTGGAGGATCAGGGAATATTTCATAGCAGAATTGACATTTTAGTAAAGATCTAAATAATGTGTAGAGTTGTCCAGGTTGGGAGGGTTTCTAGGTAGAGGAAGGTGAAGTATTGTGTTCACTATAAGTAAGCTTGGCATAATCCAAGAACTGAAATAAGTTCAACATGGATGACTAAAAGGTAGATAATGAGGCTAGGGGCTTTGGGAGGAAATAAGAAGGGATAAAAAAGGTGTGAAGAGACCCAGGCAGAATTGTGAGATCAGTGATATAACATTGAAGAGTTTTAACCATGGGGCGAAATTGACACATTTTAATTTCACAAAGATAACTCTGGCTGCAGTGTAGAGAATGGATGGGAAGAAAGCAGATCTAGATCCAGGAATTCCAGTTAAGATACTGTTACTGTAGCCATGTAAGAGAGGAAGGTGGTATGGGCATGACAAAGAACAGTCAGAATGGAGAGAAATAGATCAATTCGAAAGATTTTTTATGATAAGAGCTACGTAGAAGCATCAAGACTTAGTGATTGATTGGATGGAAGAATGATAAGGAATCAAAAATTATGCCAGCTCCTTCCCCTACCCCTTACCAAGAGAGGAGGTGGTGGGAAATATTTAAAGAGGCTTATTTTGAGCCAATATGAGTGACCATGGCCTGGGGAAAACACAAACCCAGGAAGCCTTGAGTAAGTGTTCCTGTGGCAATCAGAATGTATTAATGACTTTTTAAAATATATTTCAGGGAGGCAGGAGTTACAGGCAAAGACAGAAATTAATACATGGAAGATACACACACATTGGTTCAGCCTGAAAAGATGGGTTATCTTGAAGCAGAGCTTATAAATCATAGGTGGATTTAGAGATTCTTTTTTAAAAACTTGGAGTTAGCAGCAAGGAATGTTTAAGTTAAGGAAGTCTGCTGATCACAGAGCAAGCCACAATATACTGGGGTAAGTGACCTGATAAGCAAAACTGATGATCTGCAGATGTGTCTTAACCCTTGCCTGGCATGGCCTTTGGTCTTGTTTATAATTGGGTATCTTATTACCACAAACAGTCTGTTCTGTCAGTCCCGTGATCTCTATTTTAACATTAATGCTGGTTAGTTGTTGCATCTAAACCACCAAAGGGAGTGAGTATAATGAAGTGTATCTGACCTTTTGTCCTGTCTGGAAACTTAGTTTTTCAGGTTTCTTTGGGGTCCCCTTGGCCAAGAGGGGTTCCATTCAGTCACTTAGGATTTTATTTTAAGTTTACATTGGTAAGCATGCAAGGGAGTAAGGAAATATATTGAGGCCAATGGGAGCCAGGTTTCTTACTAAAGTGAAGGGAGTTACAAATTGGGAAAGGAGGAATTCCACCATATCCTTTGTGGTAGTGCTGGATTAGAATTGAGTAAGTCAATGTGAACTCATACTTTTCAATAGCTACTCAAGCACATATAGAAATAAATGTAGCTGAAAGTGTGTTGTGTGTGTGTATCCCTATCTATCTACTTATTATTTTTTTCCCTAGTTCTACCTGTTAACAGGGTCTAGAAGCAATGGTAAGCTAGAAGCAATGAGCACATAGTACCTAGATCTTGATTTCTAACCACCATTCTCCACTAAAAGGAACTATGGCCCATTAGAGAAATGGTTGATTCCAGAGTAGGAGCAGGGAAAGTACAGCATGAGCCTGGAAAATCTTGTTGCACTAGAAATTAAGGAAGTTCTCCCAGAATGAAGAAACATATCAAAGGGGCACAGAAGCCAGCTTGAAGGAGCCCCCATTGGTCACATCTGGGTCAATCTGAGCACCAATATAATAATATTAATAGATTATAATCCACTAATTATAATAGGAATACTTGAGTCTATACTGAAATAAATGAATTTTTTGAAAAATGATGATAAAGAAAAGCTTTTTCTTTCATTAAAATGCCAAGTAATGAATGTAGAAGGAATGTTATAGATAGAAACATCACCATTTGGCTATCAGTAAACACCGATTCAGGCAAGAATTATCAATGTATGCTAAAAGTAGAGGGTGAGAGTTTTAAGAGACACATAATATTTACACAGTCTCAAAATATCTGCCCACCATATATTTACTAATTACAAAGGGAAAAAGTTAGAAATTTGACAGTGTAAAAATCTGGCACTGCTGATCAAAATTTGCCATTGCCAATCAAGAGATACAAATCAGCATCGAGTGCCACCTGGTAAAAGGTGCTTAGAACATACTTCTGTGATATTCCTGCCCAAAATGCATAACCCAAATCTAATTATGAGGAAAGATCAGACACCTCCAAATTGAGGGGCACAATTCAAGTGTCAAGGTCATGAAAGACAAAGGAACGAGTAAAGAACTTTTTGAGATTGAAAGAGAATTAAGAGACATGACAACTAAATGGAACACGTGGTTTGGAATTGGATCCTTTTGCTATAAAGATATTGACACAATTGACAAAATTTATATGGGATCGCTGGATTAATAGTATTTTAACAATGTTAATTTCCTGATTTTGATGACTATACTCTGGTAACATACCTTTGTTTTGAGAAAATACACTGAAGTATTTAAAAGTAATGAGGCTTCATTTCTGCAACTAATTCAAGTGGTTCATAAAAAACTATGTATAAATAATAAAAATAAATATAAATAATATATATAGAGAGAAAATGATAAAGCAAATGTAGTATGTCAGCAGTTGGGGAATTTCGGCAAAGACACAAGTTCTTTATACTGTTCTTGCAATTTTTTAAAACTATAAAAAATGTATTAAAGGTGCTGAGGTTTCTGGTTCAGGTAACTGAGTGGAGAATGGCTAATCAATTAACAATGGAAAGTCAGAATGAGCAGGTATGGAGGAAAAGATGTTTAGTTTCAGTGGGCTGTATCCAATAGGCAGTTGGATATATACTATATTAATGAGCCATATTCAAACTGTAGAAAGCAGATATGCTGTTTTAGCCCTCATTACCCAAGAGTGAAAGACTAAGGTCACCCTATTGTCCTAGGCAGGCAAGCAATTAAGAGTGGTAGTGCAGTAATAATAATAAAAGTTGGCCGACCATCCATCAAAAAATTATATAAAAATTGAACTGTTCAGAAA